GCCTCTCCGAGCTCCTGTCTCACAGGCATCAGAGCTGACAGCCTTTGAAAGGAGCTTGTTCACATTAGGAAGAAAGCGGCCACTCTTCTAATGTTGATAAATTTTGCAGCAGTTTCTTTAATATATACCAGCTGCCTTGAAACACATCTAATTAAGCAGCTGATAGCTTACTGGGACTGCACTTGGCTTTGATGTGCTCATCAGTGTTGGGGAGGAAGTATTGGGAAGCTAATCATAATAGGACTTAGCTCTTATAAAATGCCTTTTATCTTCAAAGTGGTTTACAACCACTAATTATTGGAGGAATTAGGGTGACTAGCAACCATCTTGGTGAGACCTGAAGCCATTAGCGAGGGCCTTTAATGTATCTTATAATAGATCAGGGGAGTGTGGAGGGGGTGTTTAATAACAGCTGTCCGAACCTGGAAGAATTATTTCATAGAGGTAAGACAGCTGTTCTCTGTCTCCCTGGAGGCTAGAAAATGGAAATTGGACCTAATTTGAGGAGAAAGGATGCTGACTGGAGGATTACATAAGCTACAGCAGACTGCCAGAGGGAATCTGGGCTTGTCAAAGGTGCTTGCACACACCTGACCCTTTGGGGGGGCTGGACCTCTTCCTGGTGGTCTGGTGTGGGTGAGGCCGCTTCCCCATGTTCCGTCCAGCTGGAAAGTCCATGCTAGATTCAGGAACCTTGACTTTTTTCTTCATGTGTTTGCGCTCTTCCTCTTCCTCTCTCATATGAGAGAGAGATGGAAAGAAATGAAAGCGCATGAAGTATATATGCTGAATGAGAAAGTGAGAAATGAGAAACGTTCCCCCCATAGTCTTGGGCATTTAAACACTTGGTCCCCAGTTGGTGGCGCTGTTTGGGAGGTTTAGAAAGAGCAGTGACTTGCTGGAGGAAGTCACTTTGAGATGAACAAGTCTTAGTCACTTCTGGCTCTCTCTCTCTCTCTCTCTCTCTCTCTCTCTCTCTCTCTCTCTCTGCTTTGTGCTTGTAGTTCGGGATCTGAGCTCTCAGCAACTCACTTCGGCTGCTGCCCCCGCCTCTTGCTCTCTCGCCTCCCCACCATGGTGGATTCCTGTCCCTCTGAAATCGTAAGTGAAAATAAATTCTCCCTTCTGTAAGTTGCCTTGGTCATGGCATTCTATCCCAGCAACAGAAGAGTTACTAATCGATAGGTTATAATATATGTGTATACATAGTTTTATATATATATATATATATGTGTGTGTTTCGTTAGTTTGGCTTGCTGGAATACAACTGAGGTGGAGGAAGCCAGTTTGATTTCAACAACAACAATAGTGGCAATGATAACAGGGTAGTTGCCCAGGGACAGCTGCAGTGGAGGAAGATGCTGTTTTCTTATGAGAAAGAGATCAGCTTGTCAAGTCCCCCAAACAAATGCAGATATGTAGCAAATATCTTCTCTCACTTGATAATTTTTATTCCCAGCTCTGCTTGCCCTGTCTCTTGCATTTTACAGGTGGGAAAAGGAAATTGCAAATATTGTCACCCAACTCATTTTGTGTCATACAGCTAGGCAGTGATGGAGGCAGGATTTGAACCTGGGTCAACTTGGCTCTCCCCATTCTGCTGTGCCACCTCACAGAAGCTCAAGTGTGATGGTCACTTTACCCTTCCTCCTCTCCCGAGTGAGAGAGCTGGGTGGGTGTATGCGTAGTCTGTTGTTTGGCAAGAACTGCCCGATTTCAACCCTGCCAGCTCCGAGCTAATCTCTGAGAGCTTGGGGTCCCACTGCACATGGGGTTCTCCTCCTGCTGAGACCTGGATAGTTCAAGAGATTTGAATGGCTCCCAGGGATGCTTTGGGGCTTTGATCTTCTAGCTGCCTGCTGCAGAAGGGATTCAAGGGGAATCCATGTGACTTAGTGGCCACCTTCAAGTCGGCAGCAGGTACAGTGAGGACAGAAGTAGCAGCTGAAATCAGATTAAGGCAGAAATTCACTTTAAACCCTCAGGAGGGATTTCGGTTTGATCTACAAACTTTCTGATTGCACACTTAAGCTGCTAGAATTACTCTGGATAACTGGGAAATCTTCCTAGAAATGTTTCAGGCCTGGATAATTTGCATCTGTATGTCAAGTGTTTTTGTGGAGTTATTCTGGAGGGAAAGAGTGGTTTAGCCCCAGACAGGTATTACGTATGTTCATGTGAGGGATGTAGCTCAGTGATGGGGTGGGCTTAGCATGGCATGGTCCTGGGCTTGGTCTTCAGTCAGGAGGAGAGAAGGAAGGAGGCAGCCAGCCAGCCAGGCAGGCAGGCAGGCAGGCAGGCTACAAGGAGGATTGGACTTAGCCTGCCTTTTTTGTGACTGGACTGGCTTTTGGTCTAAATGGAAAATATTTTAATTAAAAATATTACTATTGTATATGCATGTGTGTTTATAAATACCACTGTATGAGTGCAAAGGTCGGAGGACAAATTTATGGAGTCAGTTCTCCCCTTTTCCCTTTACCTGGGTCCTGGGAATTGAACTTGGGTCACCAGACTTGCCTGGCAAGTGCATTTACCCACTGAGCCATCTCACCAACCCCTCTAACAGCAAATCCTGGAGACAAGAACCCTGTCTATGCCCAAGGTCAAGGCTTCCTTGGGCTCTCTCCAGGTGCTGAGCTCAGGAGAGGGATTCCGCTTTGCTTTGAGATGTTTTGCCCCCCACTGCCCTGGGAAAACCCATGCAAGCTGTGCAAAGATTTCAAGTCAATCCAGGTGTCTCAGGGGAAAGGAAAGAAGGCTGGATGCCGATAGATAAGTGGCCTTTCCCAAGACTCTGCCTCACTTCTGTGTGTTTAGGGTAGCAAGTCTCAACCTTGGGGTTGAATATCAAATGTCCTGCACGTCAGATATTCATTACAATTCATAACAGTGGCAGAATTACAGTTATGAAGTAGCCATGAAATAATTTTATAGTTGGGGGTCACCACAACACGAGGAACTGTAGTGTTGCAGCATTAGGAAGGTTGAGAACCACTGGTTTAGGGTTTGCTTAGTTCCCTGCACAATCTGGAAGTTTCCACAGGGAAATTGCTTAATTGAAAGTCAAAGGAAGAATCACAGTTCTGGATAAATACAATAGCCTGGGGGCTAGTGGTCCAGAGCATCAGCTGCTCTGCCAGAGGACCCAGGTTCCATTCCCAGCACCCATGTGTCAGCTCACAACCTTCTGTAACTTTAGTTCTGGGGATCCATTGCCCTCTTCTGGCCTCTATAGGTACTGCACACATGGGCCATACAGACATACATGCAGACAAAACAATCATACACATAAAATTATGTATGCATATATATAAGCAATAGACTAAGCTATATTGCTTAGACCTGGGGAGACAGAAGAAGGTAGTGGCCCCAACACAACAATAATTCCTCATCTTCCTTCTCAATACGCTCATTGAGTTATTGACATACAATAAGCTGCATGACTTTGAAGTCTGTAGCTTGATAAATTTTGACATAAATTTTTGTGCATATGTGTGTGTGTGTATGTGTGTGTGTGTGTATAAATGCTGTCAGTCTTCCATATGTTGGGGTTCTACATCCAACTAAACATGGGAAGTATTAAAGACTATGTGTGTACTGAGCAGGCATAAGCTTTTTCCTTTAGGCTCTATAGTGTAAGAACTGTTTACATAACAGTTACACTGTAGCAGACATTATAAGCCTTCTCTAGATGGCTGACACACATCTGTGACCCCAGCACGTGGGAGACTGAGGCATGAGGATCACAAATATGAGGTTGGCTTGGGTTACACCATGAGGATCTGTCTCTAAATAAAATAATAAAATATATTGTAGAATATGTATACGTTATATAAAAATACAACCCATTTTGTATAAAGAACTTAAGCACTCAGATTTTTTTAGCAGGGTGGGGAGTCTGGAGCGATCCCTCAGGGATACTGAGAGACCACTAGGGATCAATGAATAAGTTAATAGATCTGTAAATCTACCATGTATTCACATGTCACACTCAGGAAATGAAAGTAAGGATCCTATCTGTCTGTATCCTGTCTGTATCTCCTCTTTCTCATCCCCCCTCACCCCATATCATCTTTCTGTCATGGTTGTTTCCAGTTTTCAGAAATGTGATCAAATGCAATAATAAACTTGGACAAAAACTGTAAACAAATTTATGTAAGTGGAATCATGTGATCAAATGCAATAATAAACTTGGACAAAACTGTAAACAAATTTATGTAAGTGGAATCATGTGACACGTATTTTCTTGCTTCTTGTATTTGTGTGATTATTTTGAAATTTATCCATTTTTGTTACTCAAGATCCAGTTCATTCCCTATTTGTGCAGAGTAGCTTCTGTTGTGTTTACATACTACAATTTGCCCGTTTTCAGGTTCCTCATGGCTTTACCCAGCAGGTCCACATAGAGGATGATTAGGACCATGGGCCTGAGTGCAGGTGTCTGAGATGGTCTGCACTTGGCTGTGCTGGGGGAGGAGGTCTTTTGCTCCACCCCTTGGCGTCTCCATAAAAACCCTGGGGCAGAGACAGGCCCATTGGAAAAGGTTCCAGACTCTCTCAAGGCTTTCCTTTATTTTCTATTTGTTTATCTCTGCAATATAAATCCTTCTATTTAATATTTCCTGCTGCTCGCACTCAAGAAAACTCTGGGGGAACTCTGGGGTTGGTGGGTAGATGCCCCACACATATCCATTTGTCTCCTTTGGTGTTGGGTGGCTACTTATGTTGGGAGAGTGTAGGGCACCCTCTAGCTCATCTCCTTTCAATCTCCATGTGTTCCTTCCCTTCTCTTGATTCTCTCTCATTTGACAGAGTGGCTGATCTAACAGCTTTCCCTGTAAATCCCACTGGTCCTGAGCCCTGATAATTAAGAGTCCATTGCTAAGAGATGTCAGGACAGCTAGTGACCAGCTCTGGAACCTGTTTTTCTCCTTTCCTGCTCCTTTTCTGTCTTGCTCCACCCTGGTCACACACTTCTTTTTCCCATCTCCCCTGCTCAGGTTCTGAAAACCCACAAAGAAATCCACAGGTCTGATGGCCACCCCCAAGGAAAGGGGAGACTCCAGCTCCCAGATACCAGGCCCTGGGTGGCAGAAAAGTGGAACCTGTGTGGAGCAGCCGGACCACCCCGACAGGTTGGAGGTGGAGGAGCAAGTGCCAGACCAGAGTATTGTGTGGAGGAAAGCACAGGAATTCTTCCAGACATGTGACTCCGAAGGCAAGGGCTTCATTGCCAGGACGGACATGCAGGTGAGAGGGGTCCCCACCTTGAGCTTCACCTGGGCCATCTGCCAGAAGTAACCTCTTTCCAGAAAAGGCCTTTGCTCTGGAGCCGCTGCCAGCATGTGCTGTGTGGGGAACCTGGTATCTGTTCATTCAATGGCCCTTACCTGCTGTTGGGCTATTTGCCTTCCCTGCCTCTACCACAAGGCTATAGGACCTGGTGGTAGTCACGTGATGGACTTAGTATACCACAGGGGTCTGAGGATGTGACCCCCGATAGAGTGCTTGTATAGCTAGCATTGGTGAACCCCCAAGTTTAATCTCTAACACCACATAAATCTACATAAATGGGGTGTGGTGGTACATACCTGTAAACCCAGTTACTTAGGAGGCTGAGGCAGAATTGTTGGTTCAAAGCCAGTGAGTAACTCAGTGAGATCTTGTCTCAAACATAAAATTAAAAGGAGGTGGGGATGTAGTTCAATATTAGAACTTATCTAGCATCTCAAAAGGCTGTGGGTTCAAGTCTCAGTACTGAAAAAAAAATTAAATTTTATGTAATTTTTTGTGTGTCACTATGATTCTTCCTTTTTTTTTTCTAGCCACTTAAAAATGTAAAAGCCATTATGTTGTTGGTTGGTCTTTGGTCTTTTGCGGGGCTCACCACCCAGCTCCTAAATGAATCACACAGGGAGGCTTATTCTTAGTTATAAACGCACAGCCTTGGCTTGTTTCTTGCCAGCTTTTCTTAATTTTAAATTATCCCATCTACCTTTTGCCTCTGGGCTTTTCCTGTTCTCTGTAAATGTTACTGTTATTTCGTGGCTTGCTGTGTGGCTGGCTCCTCTTTTCCTCCCAGATTTCTCCCTCTATATATTCTCTCTGCCTGCCAGCCCCGCCTATCCTTTCTCCTGCCTCACTATTGGCCATTCAGTCCTTTATTAGACCATCAGGTGTTTTAAACAGGCACAGTAACACAGCTTCACAGAGTTAAACAAATGCAGCATAAACAAAAGTAACACCTTGAAATAATATTCTGTATTTCCTTCTTTTTGTCTAAATAAAAATAAAGGTTTTAATTTTAACATAGTAAAACTACATAAAACAAAAACAGTTATCAAGTAAAAATTACATTTACAATATTCTGTCCATTTGTAGTTAGCATATTCAGAGAAAATAATGCATTATCCTATCTTAATGAATCCAAAATTTTACACCTAATTTACTTTCTATCATAACTAAGGAAAACTGCAACCATAACTATTTAGCCTCCAACTCCATCAAAGACCCAGAAAGATATAATATAACCTAACAACAGAGACATTTGGCTGCCTGGAGAGTCACCCAGAGTTCCTCTGCAATGTTGGGGCATCCATTTTCAGCCTACAGGCCCAGAATATCTGGCAAACTTTTTAGTGAAGTGGAATTTTGAAGGACTGTCCTGCCTTGTATTGGCTAAGTTCATCAGTCACTTTTCTCTATGCCCTGCACAATATCTGACAGACTCTTCTGCGAAGCAGGAATTTTGAAGGACTATCCTGCCTTATTTGGACAAAGTTCAACAGTTCTTTTTTCCTGTGTCTTGCATTTCCAGTCTGCATAGCACATTCTCAGTAGTCAAAGGCAAGAGCAGTTTCTTTGCCCAGTGGCTAACCTTGCCACAATGAAAGCAAACTCCATAAGGAGTTTCTTTAATGCTCATCATCTCTGAAGTAAATTGGTGCTGCCAAGAGCAGATATGTCTCATTGTCATGAAAACTTTGTTAGCAAACATTTTAAATGCCATATTCTGTAGGTCTTTGAAAGGTTCGAAGACCAGCTCTCTATCTAAAATATATCTCTGTGTGATCTGGAAAGCATTTCTAATCTATCTACAAATTTGTTATAAATGACTAACCTATGTTTCCTGATTATCTTATACAGTTTATAATAACAGCTTTCAAAAACTAGAATTTTGCCTTATAAATTTAAATAAACTGCATAGGTACAATAACCTTAATCAAGAATAGAAACATATATACAATATGTTACAACAAAAATAACCTTAAATTTTTATCAATATACAAAAATTCTTTAAACAAGAGTAGAAACATGTATACAGTGTAACAAAAATAACTTTAAATTTGTATCAATATACTATATTCCCCTAAATGATAACAAACATCTATAACCCACCAAATAACCAAAAGTTTCCCATACCCCTCTTGGGAATGTGGAGGTCATGTTCTCCAAACTGCTTCCTGCTGTCTGTGGATGAAGTACCTTTAGGGTCCCAGAGAGAAAATTTTGAGATAATGACCAGGTCCTGGGAAGACCTGATAACCTTTACTGATAGATATCACCTGTCAAATGTCAGGAGGTCTTGCCTGATCAAATCTGATCCATATTAACCCTGAAGGAATCCACAGCCTCGAATCTCCTGTGGGAACCAATCTCCAAAGCATTTTTGATTTTCATTTGACAAATATATTTTTTGACTTTTTAAAAGTTAAGGCATTCCTAAAGTATACAGGCTGATTTATTTCAACAGTCCCTCTTTCAATTCAGGTCTCTTTGAAGCTGTCTTTTGCTTTTCAACAATGAAAAAATTCAAAATCAACGCAATAAACATACAGGATCCAGACTTCCTGTGTATTTCCCATCTTATGTGGCTTTTTTTCTTTTATATTACTTTTACTCTCTCTTTAAAGACTTTATTATTATTTTTAAACTGTTCATTTCTTTCTATGACTATACCCTTATTCTTTTTTTTTTTGTTTGTTTGGTTTTTTTAGATACAGGGTTTCTCTGTGTAGCTTTGCGCCTTTCCTGGAACTCACTTGGTAGCCCAGGCTGGCCTCGAACTCACAGAGATCCGCCTGCCTCTGCCTCCCGAGTGCTGGGATTAAAGGCGTGCGCCGCCGCCGCCGCCGCCGCCGCCGCCGCCACCTGGCTAACCCTTATTCTTAAGCCTACACACATTGTTAAACACAATAACCTGTTCAGAGAGGGTTCTTTTGTTTTTGTTTTTGTTTTCCATCTGGACCTCTTTTACTGCGTATCTTCTAGCCTTCTTTGACCATGTGAGCAAACCTTTAAACTGCTAACCTACACCTGAATGCTCCACAGGAGGCTCTCAGTTGGCTCTGCCGGCTTCTCCAGTCCTGAAAGCCAGGTCTAAAGCTCACAGCCTGGTGGGAGGTTCTGAACTGCGTTAAACCTTCCTATCTATGGAATGCCAGTACCTGAGCTGCCACAGGTGTTTTTTTTACTTAGCTTCTGCCTTTCTAGCAGCATCTCTTAAAGGAGCCATGTCCTTTTTTTTTCTTTTACTTTTTTTTTTTTTTCCAGCTGTCTCAGGCACTATGGAAATTTGAGCCCCACGTTGGTACTCCAAAATGTTGTTGGTTGATCTTGGACCTTCTGGGGGCCCACCACCCAGCTCCCAAATCACACACAGAGGCTTATTCTTAGTTATAACACCTGGCCTTGCCATTTTTACTTCACTGACCATACAAAACCAGGCAGTGACAGGTTTAGCATTAGGAGTATCATACATAGGACGGTCCTACATTGTTCCCCGACCCCCTTGACTCCCTCAGCTGTTCCTGAGAATGAAATGGTCCATTCCCAGACGTTGAAAAGGCCCAGTCTATACCAATCAACCTCCTAAAGTCAAGCACATGGCAGTCTGTCATGGGATGGAGACAGATACAGCTTCAGCTATCCTAATGATGCTCAGAACAGCTGAGCTATACCACAGGCAAGAAACAGGTCTGATCGGGCTGCTGTGGACACCAGAGGAAGAGGGTGTGTGCACTTCTGGCCTTAAACAAGGCTCTCCTCCAGCCTCTCCTATGTGAGTGTCACTTGAGAAAGGGCGAAACTGTAACCACGCGCCTGGGGAAGGTGGCTGAGCTTGAGTCTGGAGACTCCTCCCTGGTTCACACCACCTACAAACTTGGTATGGCGCCGGTGTGTTCATGTGCACACATGTGTAGAGGATGAAAGGCTGATTGAGGGTCCCACTGACCTCTAGAGTTTCCTTCCTGATCTTTCCAGCTAAAGTTTAGTGGAAGCTATCAATGTTCTGCCAGATCCAGCAAACCTGAGGCTGACTAGGAGGGAGGAAATCTAATCCCAAAGAAAGCCTTGGGATCTCACTGTGGTGGGAGCCAAGGAGGTTTCATCCTACCTCCAGGGGGACCATCTCTCATTTCCAGGGGAGCCAATGAGCTTCCTACTTGTAAAACCAACACTCTCCCACCCTGAATTCTCTCCCTGCGTTCTTGCCACAGCTGGTTTATGGGCTGCTGATGTCTGCTATACCGTTGAGCTTCTAGAGTCCTTGTAAACGCTTTCCCTCTCCTTTCCTTTCTTGAAAAACTCATCCATATTTAATTCAGTTCTTTCAAATGGCTTTCCCATTAGCCTGCCTTCCCACTTGGTAATGTGTCCTAAATGCCACCGTTAATGCACAGACTAGCCAAATGATGCTTTATGGCTCATCAGCTAAAAGACAGTGAGCCAGGCGCTCCCTCCAGGTGTGTCGTGGGCTGTCACACCTGCCGACTCTAGCTGTCCACATGTGTGTCCACTTTCCTTCTTACAAAGCCCTGTGCGTGCTGGCTAATGCTGTCAGCCACTTGCACAGGAGAAGTTCGTGCAGCTGGCCCTTGGGTTCCTGAGGAGAAGGAGGGCCAGCTGAGAGCTAACAAGTCTCTTGGGGATCCTCACTTGCAGGTGGATTGTTAGGTACAGGAGGACTCTTGCTCTGGCCTGGGGCCATTTCGCACCAGACAGACAGATGCCAGAGGGAAGTGTGGACAGCTCAGCTACCTCATTCCTCAGGCTGACAGTGGGTGCAGGCTCTGAACCTCCAGGGCCCTCCCCGGTGACCTCCCTTCCCCAGCTAGACCCCACAACCTCCTATAACAACACCATCCATTGAGGGACTAAGTGTTCAATCCCTTGAACTTGTGGGGGACATTTCACATTCAAATCAGAGTGGGACACTGTATGTGGGGCTCACTTGCAGTTAGGAGGGGGCTTATCCGGCATCTTCAGATCTAAGGAACCAAATATGTCCACAGCTACTTACAAGAATAGTATTGGGGACCTGGGACAGAAGCTTCCACTAGGAAAGACCCACATAATAGGGAAGGTAGCATGGCTCAGGAAAGGGGGTACCCAGAGGAAAAGACCAGGATGCACACAGTGGCTCCATGAGCCTTTGTTTCTCCCTCTCTCTGTCCTTCCCACTACTATTTATTTATTTATTTATTTATTTATTTATTTATTTATTTATTTATTTATTTATTTATTTATTTTTTTACTAAGGGTCAAACCTGGGGCCTTATGCAGGCTACATAAGTTCTCTACAGTTCAGCTACATCCTCAGCCTGTTTTTACTTTTGATTTTGAAACACAGTCTCGCCAAGTTACCCAGGCTAGTCTTGAACTTGGCATCCTCCTGCCTCAACCTTCCAAGTAGCTAGGATTACAGACCTGTGCCACCAGGCCCTACTCCCTCTCCTGCTTTGATTGAGTGGTTTCCAGATGACAGATGTTGTGTCCTAGGCATCTGTGGTGCCACTTAGCTTCAGAACACTGCATCCAGAACCTACCTAGAGCTATTCAGTCCCGTACAGCATTGGTCCTTGACAGTGCTAGGAGTACCAGCTTGGAAGTCAGATCTGAATTTGACTCCTTGACTGTATGACCCTGGGGCTGGCAATGTACCTTTAAACTTCATCTTTAAAATGGTAATAATAATATCTACCCCAAAGGGGTATCATGAGAATTAAATGAAAATAGAAACGCTCATACATGTGTTTCTTTATAAATCATATAGAAAATTGTCTGATCCATTAGTTGGCACCCAACAAAGGGTCTCCACACTAATATGGGAGAGAGGACAATGTTCATGGCTTTTGCAGGCCTGAGCCCAGCTCTAGGTCCCTCTGACCATGAGCATGCTGACCAGTGTGGTCTGGATTGCTTTCAGAGGCTACATCAGGAGCTACCCCTAAGTCTGGAAGAACTGGAGCATGTGTTTGATGCCCTGGATGCTGATGGCAATGGCTTTCTGACCCCAGAGGAGTTCACCGCTGGATTTAGTAAGTTCTGGTGGGTGCTGGGGACCCAGGGCTGGGAGTCTCCGTGCAGCTGTGTAACATAGATTCCTGTTCCCCCCTCCGCCTATTTTGGACTCTCTCTGGGGCTTTTCTGCTCTTCTTTTGGGGGTACAGGGCCAGAGGTTGAGGGGAGTAGACTTTTGGCTCTTTTCACACGCCTGCCTTGACTGTTCATACCACGGTATCCTCTGTGGCCCTGTACTGTCTCTGCCAGGGCCCCCACATGGGAGCTCGGGCAGGTTTGGCATCAGCAGGAAGCTGTGCCAGGATTTTCAGCCCATCTTTCCTGCCTTGATAGACAAAATAAGCAAGCAAAGGTGTGTGATAACAGGACAGCTCAGCCTAAGTCCAGCTGAGAGGCAGCAGCTACCTGAGAAATCTCTAGGTTTGAATAGCACAGTCAGACTCAAGGTCACTAGCAGGAAAGAGAGCTAAGATCTGGGAGTATGATTAAGAATCCAGATTCTACCTCTAGATGAGATGAACCAGTAGGCCAATTTCTCCATCTCTCTGCCTCCTGCAAAGGGCCGTGTAATTTCCTCAGGCATATCCGATGCCTTTCCTGATCTCCTGGAGCTTTCCATTGACTTGAGAGGGTGGGACACATTGCTATCATGCCAGCCAGCATGAATATAGAGAAAGTTGCCTATACATGTGCGGTGGTGCTGATGATGGGCATGGCAGGACAGGCTTCTGGAGAGTGATGGAGGGCACAACCTTACCACTTAATACCCAAACAGGAGAAGATGTGCTTTTTTTCCTTATTGTTTTTCTTTGGTGATAGTACTTGGGATTGAATCCAGGGCCTTGGTTATGCTAGGCAAATGCTCTACCACTGAGCTGCATCCTCCAAAGATACATGCTCTACACCTAATATTTAGAGATCCTCTGAGGAGCCAGCCTGCTTCCCAGGCACTGTCTCCAGGCTCTCGCATCTCTGACAGAATGCAAATGGAAGATCAGAGAACACAATCTCCAGATTCAGTGACCATGGGTCTTTGCTATAGAGGGACCCCCCTTTTGCTTCTCTAGGGCAAACTTGGCATGATTTCCAGGAAAAGAGGAAGCCAAGTCCTCCCTGGGCTGAGGATGTCTGATTCAAGTCCTTGCCAACTACTCTCCTAGGTCACTTCTTCTTCGGTCAAAATAGCCAAAGTGAGAAGGAAACTGGCAAGCAGGTGGCCCAGCTCCTAGAGGAGAAGGTGTATCAGTCTAGAGGGGGCGAGGATGCGGAAGACATGGACCACGATGAGGAAGCACAGTTCCAGATGCTGATGGATAAACTTGGAGCCCAGAAGGTTTTGGAAGAGTAAGTCTATGCTGGACCCCATGCATTTCTGCTCACCTCTCTCCCATGCTCGCCACCATACTCACTTCTTCTTGTTTCTTGTCATCATTACACACCTTGGGTCTGCTCACCCTGAAAAGTGCCCTGCATCAGAGATGGCCTGAGTGTGTGTTCATGTAGGGTGGGACTGGTTTAATGACTGGAAAGTCATGCCTTCAGGAAGAGAAGGGCCCAGGGTGGAAAGTGATCCAGTAAGGTCAGCAGAGAAATGTACTGCTCATAGCAGACCAGTTCAGTCTCAGAGGTAGAAAGGCTGACAAAAGAGCATGTCAGGCATCAAGGAGCCAGGCCGAGGCCCAGGAGAGAGTCTAGCTGGTAGAGGAGGATGGGTAGGAAGTGAAACTTGCCAGCAGCTGCAGGGCAGGAATGTGGGCTGTGAATAAGGCCAGGGTGATGCTCAGGACACAGAGGGTAGGGACATAGGCAGGCACTGGGCAAGCTCATTAGTCAGACTCATGACTCAGCTTCACGAGGCCAGAGCCCAGGTACCACTGCCAGGGACTCCATGAAGCCTTCTGCTGTGAGAAAGGAGAGGGCAGTGCCAAGAGCTGGCCACTGTCACAAATGGCAGGGACCGCCAGGCACCTTCCTGAAGGGCTCTCAAGTCAGTGCTCACCAGATGTCACACTGAGGTGTTGTTTTCTTACTCTTCTGACTCTTTTACTCTTTTGGTCTTTGGGGGCCCACCACCCAGCTCTCAAATCACATGGAGTCTTATTTTTTTCTTACCAATGCCCAGCCTTAGCTTGGCTTGTTTCTAGCCAGCTTTTCTTAACTTGTATTATCCCATCTAACTTTTGCCTCTGGGCTTTTATCTTTCTCTATTTCTATATATCTTTCCATTTCTTCTTACTCTGTGGCTGGCTGTGTAGCTGGGTGGCTGGCCCCTTGCATCCTCCTTCCCTCCTTTTCTTGTTCCTTCATCTTCTCTTCCCAGATTTCTTTTCCTATTTGTTCTCTCTGCTGGCCATCCCTACCTATCCTTTCTCCTGCCTTGCTATTGGTCATTCAGCTCTTTATTAGACCAATCAGATGTTTTAGACAGACAAAGTAGCACAGCTTCACAGAGTTAAACAAATGTAACATAAAAGAATGCAACACATCTTTGCATCATTAAACAAATGTAACCCATCTATAATTAATACTCCACAACACCGAGGACCATGTTAAATGCCTGCGTAGAACTGAGATAAAATGTTATGCCTGAAAGATGGTTTCTAGAATGGCCTATAAAGGCCAACAGAGAAGACAGTGACAGTCCCCATCCTCACTGACATGGGCTCACCCTGTAGCCTGTGGGGGCCTGTTCATGATAACATAACCACAAACAAGAAGCATGGCAGGTTGGAATGGCTTCAGAGCTGTCTATTGCTCAACAGAGGGCTTGTGGGTTATTCTACAAGCAGAGAGGTGGACTGGTTGACCTCCTTGGGCCTCTCTAACCTACACTGCTTGGTGGTCCCACAAGAGGTAGCTTCCAGAAGTGGACACCCAGACACCCAGCTTTTCTTGGAGGTCTAGTGGAATGACTTTGCTAATTAATGAGCTGTGACTTGTCATCACAAGTTGAAAGATTTGGCCTGTGTTCAGTTCATTTCTTTCATGTTGCTGTGGCCTAATGACAATAACATAAGGGAAGGAAGATCCACTTTGGTGTCTTCTGAGGGCTTCAGTCCACCATGGCAGAGAAGATACAGATGGAGGACTGATGGGTAGATGGGTGGGCTGGTGATTGGATGGTCTCAATGAACAGGTAGACATTTGAATAGGCTAGAAGCCAGAAAGGATGGAAATGAAGGACAGAGGGAAGGCAGGAGAGAAGGAAGAGGGGCCAGTGATGACCATAGCCTAACCAGATGTAGATTCAGTCAGCAGTAGTTGTTTCTGTTGGATACTATCTGTGCCATGAGAACACTACTGACATGACCCGACCCAACAACCCTTCTGAGCAAAGCTTCTCAAATAAGGTGTTTATACTGGTCTGAAGGATTTTCTCCTTTATCCTGGGAGTGCCTGGGATTTAATGGGGATGAGTCAGATTGGTGCTTCTCATACTTCAATCACAGCTGTAGATATCTGAGTGCAGGAAGAGAGAGAGTGAGGCCCCCACACGCAGCTCCCCATTCCCCTCTTTACAACAGGGTCATCATGGCCCATCTCCCCCTCTGCTGCTCCTTTGGGTGTGTATTCACCCCCCACATACCTGTTTCTCGTGATTCTCGTGACCTGGCCCTGCACCTCTTCCCTGTAGAGTCCGACTTTCCACTTGTCTGTCTGTGTCTCTGCATCCTTCAGATTCACTCTTTCCCCTGCCAGTCACTCCCAGTGCCACCCAGCCCCAGTGGGGTGCTGTGCATCTGCCTCCTTTCCCAGTGGTGACAATTACATTCTACCATCCATAAGACAGCATGTCCACCTCTCAGCCGTGAGGACATCCTTCCCAGGGGTGACAGTCTCTCTCCTCCAGCTCTCCATGTTGGCCTTACCGACTGCCTGCAGTCTCTTCTCACTATTGAGATACTGGCAAGCACATTGCCCTGCAAGTGTGATGTGTCCAATCAGTCATGAGCATCACAGAGGAGGGAAGCAGCACAGTGAGGGATCAGCACAGGAGTCATGCTGCTGGGCGTGAGCCTGTCCTCATTCCAGGGAATGGTCTTAGCATGCCACACCTGTCTCCCAGGTCATAGTGAGGATGGAGGGAGGCAGGGTGCAGAAAACACGGTGTGCCGTGAACTCTTGCTGTTGCTCTTTTGAAGGTGATTGGAATGATGTTTCCAGCTGTTCACTCCCCTGGCTGGAACCACTGTATTTCCCCCAGAACCTCATTCACTCACTCCCCATTAATGTCTCCCCTTCCCTCCCAGTGAAAGTGATGTCAGGCAGCTGTGGCTGCAGCTGAAGAAGGATGAACCCCACTTACTGTCCAATTTCGAAGACCTCCTCACCACAATCTTCACTCAGCTCCAAGAAGCCCATGAGCAGAAGAATGAGCTGGAGTGTGCCCTCAGAAAGTAGGTGCCCATCTCCACGGGGTGTGCACTTTTTCCTCTCTCTCTCTTATGGGCTCACTATAGGATGCGTCTTTGTCACTGTCTCCCAAAGGGGGTCAGAGTGCTGTGGCCAGCCTGGTATGTCTGCTTTTCAGTCCCAGCTCACCCTTACTAAGCACCCTCTGTTTGCTAGAAGCTGTTTTAAATACTTTATGTTCATTATCTCATTTGATAGGGACTATCCACCGTTACCCACGTTTACAGATGAGAAAATAAAACCCAGAAAGTGACATGCCCAAGAATGCACAGCTTGTAAGTGGTGGAGGCAGGATTCAGAGGTAGATAGCCCAGAGCCCTGGACAGGAAGGAAGAACACCCTACCTGCCTGTAGACAGTAAAGCCCTAGTATTCTGGGCCTCCCCCAGCTCCCGGTATCCCTTGCTTTGTGGAGCCAGTATATCTGTAAGGGGGTGGTGAAGAGCCTTCCCCCATTGTAGCCTCGTCTCTCAGTGGTTGCTAAGCCACTGTAGTCTGTAAGAAGACAGGACGAAGACCCCCAAGGAACTGCTGCCAACCAAGGGTCAGCAGAGGCAGATGCATCAGAACAGAGGTGGATCGGATCCCCTCCGAGAACTAACCTATGCTCAGGATGCTCTCCTGGCTCCTGGTCATGTAACATGTGTCCACACAGTGAGCTGGCATTTGGAAACACGGCATTGACTGTGGTGTAATGAAGGGTGGTCAATCACCCTAAAGGGGAGGCTGGGAGACCCAAGGCAGAGCAGGCAGAGCTGGCATGCACCCTAATAGAACACCTCACACCCCTGTGCACTCTTGTTTGAGCCCAGACTGACTGACATTCTCTGTGACACCCCATTGAGCCCTCCCTCTTGCTGGGCACTTCTGCAGAGCACCTGCCCAGTGACATGCTTCTTCCCCGGAGTTAGAGGAGCCGGGCTGAAATACCCCAGAGGAAGCCCACAGGCTCCTCATTGAGTGTGTGCTGCTGGGTAGATTGCAGTCTACATACTATGCCACACCTTTTTCTCTAGTGCTTTCCCAAGCTAACTCTCAAAATAACTTGCCGAGAGAAGAGCTAGGTCTAGGGGGAAAGCCATAGAACGCTGCTCTGGTAAGACTGAGACTAAGTCATGCAGAAGGATACCCAGGTAGACACCTAAAAGATTGTTTCTAGCACCCTCAGGGCAGCCCACAAGGCTTGAGAGGGAAGGGATGGGAGGCAACTTGGAATCAGTCAGAAGCAGCTTGAATCTTGATTCTGTCTCTTGTGCTGTGCAACATATACCACATTACTTAACCTCTCTTGAGTCTCAGCTTCCTTACCTGTAAGACAGACGTGGTAGCAATATCTATCTCGCAGAGCTGGATGTGCCAATGGGACCACACTTGTATTTGAACACTGTGAATGTCAAGAGAATAATAGCTGTTGTCCGCTGTATCTCGGTCCATTTGGGAATTTGTCTGGCTGAAAGAGGAAGTCTGAGTTTTGCCATCATCCTAAGTGAAGTGTATTCCAGATGTGCCATTGCAAGGCTGCATCTTGACGTGACGCTCATGAGCACTGTGTGTATACCTGAGACACAGGGGCTGGTAGCCAGGATATCTGGGGTGAGCCCTGCAGGGCTTGGCAACCAGCTGGCTGGTACCTTGCTCATGTCTCTTGGCCTCTTTGAACCTCTATTTTTTTCACATCTGGAAAGTGAGGAGCAAGGTTAGTTTCCTTCCTGACCCCAGCACTGATGGCCTGATTGAGTGGAGCCACAGCAAGAACAGGTGGCCCCTAGCACACAGAGAGGCGGTCTTTTTGTTCCCTAAGGAGGAGATTGCTTCCTGATGGAGGGGTAGTTGGCCTGCCTGGCTTGTGCTCTCACAGACAGGGCCTCTGCTGGCCCCACTCCTGCAAGAAACGGCAATCCCTGCCAGGCAAAGCCTCTTAGCCTCGCATCCATCTGAGAGTGGCCGCAGGAAATGCTCGGGCCTTAATTTAGTAATTGCTTTTAACATTCTTGAGATGAAAGTCGAGGACACTCTTGGCCATATGTTCAAATCCATCTCATCCCCTTCTTGGCCATCCTCTGTCCACAGTCTTGCTAGCTGAGGCTGATCGTGGCCAGCTCCTGGGGGAGGATGGTGGCGGCAGGGAGAGGCTCTGTGCTGTCTGCCAATCTCACCCAGGGGGACCCTCTGGCTGCAGAACCAGGGAGCTTTAGGTAGTAGGGAGTAGAAGAACACAGCCCAGCGGAAGAACTGGAGTTCTGGCCCAGGTCTGGCCACTTACAAGCTGTGTGACTAAGAGCTACTTGCTTTATCTCTCTGTGCATGGGCTTTTTTGTTGACAACATGTGTGAATGGGTTGAGTGTTTTTCAGACCTTTTGTGATTGTGACCTACAAGAAAGAAGAAATGCATTTTCTTTGCAGCCTTTACCCACTTATTTGTGTGTACGACTGAAGGCCAAGTTTTGTAAGCCAGATCATGCTCATGTTTCATGGGACAATGCGATTTTCTATTAGAGACTTATAAAAGTCTCATTATTCTATTAAAAAAAAATTGGTCATGCCTTGTCAGTGAGCCAAATGGTCTGCAAAGCGCCACGTGATCCATAACCTTGGCAGCTCAGAAATCAAACAAGAAACTAGAAATAGAGTGTTGAACTCTTAAATGGTCTCTCTGCAGATGACACAAGGTGAGGTTTCAAGCTTGGAACCTGTTAGGGGAGGATGTGTCCAAGCTTCGGAGAAGGAAGCAGGCTTAGGGACGAGAAGGGCTTCCGAATGCAGGCTGGAACCAGAGCATCCCGGGACCGTGCATCCTGCTGAGCTGCCAGAATGTTTCCAGCTCTGCCAGACTCCAGCTCAGGACAGGTGTGACATTTCAATTCCATCGGAAATAATCGCCTGTCACAGAGGCTGGAAGTGACAGAAACAAGTCATGGCTGCTGTGTCCCCGCCCCCACCCCACCCCAGCCCCACACTGACTGACATGTGTTACCAGTGGGTAGCATTTAATTAGTGCTTCCTCTATGCCAGGCTCTGAGTTAGTCACCATCCCTGAGGAGCAAATGGTCACTTTGACTAGACAGATTTGAAAAAAATCTGCCCAACATTGGCCAGGAAACCCCCACTGGAGCTTGGGGCAGTATGGCCGCAGGTGTAGACGGCTTCTGTTTCTTTTCTTTGCAGGCTTCACAGCCTGCTTCTTCTCCTGTGGGGCCCAGGGAAAATGGGGCTGACTCCTGGGGCAGGCAGGTCTCCCTCTGATTAGTTGAAGCACATGTTCCCTGTTCTCAGCTCCACAGGCTGGACTGGAGACCCTGGGATGCAGCTTTGCTACAGTGAATGGAAAGTGTCCATTTCCACCTCCCATCCATTCCCAGGTTATGGGAGGGAGAGGATGCCCCTGGAAGAAGGGATGCTCAGGAAAGCATTGACTTCAGAGACCAACCCCAGAGTGTGCAGGGGGTTGTCAGAAAGAACCGGGGCCTGGCTACCATTGTTGCCATGGATATGATCGAAATAGGAGGAGATGTGTCTGGAAGCATCGATCTCCTACTGTATTTGCATGTCCATTGGGAAGTAACATCAGTCCCCATGAGGCTGGGTGAAATGCAAGAGCCTGGGCTGGAGCCCATGGCCTCTGGCCAGTGTTCAATAAGAACTGCTCCCTTGCTTTGCTCTGAGGATGGGGATGTACCATGATGCCTCAGCAGATACCTACATGATACCTAAATCCTCTGAAATGGAGGGAACTGTGCATTTTAGCATAAGGGGTGCACTAGTTACCTGGCAAGAAGCAGGTGACATAAGGGAGGAGAGACTGATCTTGGCTCACGGTTGGAATGTATAGTTGATCATTGGAAAGGAATGGCTGAGCATGGCTTTGAGTAAGTGTGCAATGGCTTACTCTCATCTCAGTAGACCAGAAAACACACACACATACACACACACACACACACACACACACACACACACACACACACACACACGGCGGGGGGGGGGATCACATACATGGGGCTAGGGAGGGAAGGAGTGGGGGAGAGAAAGAGCCAAATCCAAAACAAGTAAGACTATAACCCTAAGGCTCATCTCCTAGACATCCACTTCCACTAAGGCCTCATCTCCTAAAGGACTTATAGTGCTCCCAGCCAGGGACCAAGGTTTCAAACCCCTGAGCCTGTGGGGACATTTCATACCCACGCCATAGCAAGAGTTATAGGTTGTTAGATGCATGGAAGAATTTCTGGATGCCAGACTTAGGAAGTTCTTGGCCATGGAAAGGATTCTCAGTACTCACCCTTTTCTGGAAACAAAAAGAAGCTAGCAGTCTCTAAAGGACATGGAACAATGAAGCTATGCAGAGCTCCATGGATTCAGATGGGTCTTGTGAATCATGGTGATGCCAGTATCCTACCTCAGGGTGTCTAGTTCACTAGTGGGAAAGAAGTCTATGTTTGTTTTTTTTAATCAGCCTGAGAATATGTCATATTTTGCCTGGTGGGGGAGGGCCTAAGGCTTCCTGAAGATCAGAGGCCAGCAAGGCTGACCTGCCAGTCTGGGTCCGGCTTGTTCCTGTAATTACATGGCCTTGAAATGCTGGCCTGGCTTCCTACTTTGTGTCCATGGAAAACCACACTTGTGTATTTGTATTTGATGGCCTCCCTATCTGCCCTAAGCCCACTGTCCTTGGTCTCAGTTCCTCATCTACCCAGGCTCACGTTATCCATCTAAAGCCAAGAGTGGCCTCTTCAAACTTCAAGAAGGGGCCCTGACAGGGATAGCCTGTATTACACAGCAGGACAGGCACCCCAGGACTGGAACCTCCAGTACTCATCCTCCAATCACCATCTTCCCTGGTACGCAGCTCTAGAAGCAGGAAAACTTAAGCAGGGGAGGAAGCCATCATGCCCTTGGCCTTGACTCCAAATAGAATAACAATGTGTTTTGCACATGGCAGGTGGCCCTTGCATGCCACAGGTGCTCACTGCCTTCTGGAAGGCCTCAG